GCGCAGAAAAACGTTTAAATGCGTTCACGGTGTGCCCTTCGTGGGAAGAAGGATGCGAGGATCCCCGAAGAAATGCTGAACCGCGCAAAATGCATACCGATCAGATACGGTAAGAAACGTTGTAACTCGTTCGGACACGAAATAATTAGAAAGTTGATCGCAATTAAAGATGATTTAACTAGACACAGATACATTGATTTAAAATTGTATTTATATTTTTATCAGAAATATGATTATTACCGAACTGGAACATAGTGATCCTAAGAATAATTTTATAAATAATTTTATAAATAATGCTTTTTGAAAAAACTTTGAATGTTTATATATATATCTAACAAGATTTGAAAGTAATAAATTCTATCAATAATATTGCATAATTAAATTTATTCTCATATCGGTCCAATTTTTTATTATAATAACATTTTATTTGTGAACAAGCTTATCTACAAATTAAGAACATATATATAATTAAATTTGAAAAATTTCTAAAGAAAACAACAAAATTTTAATAGGATTTGAAGATTTATATATTCCTTTACGCCACAAAAATATATCTATATAAATAATGTATTTCTGTTATTAATTATATATCATTTATAATATTATAGATATTTTAATCTTATAACATAATTTTCAAATAAAACTAGATTAGCAAAACAGTTTAAAGCAAAACAGTACGGACACAACGATATTTAATATGATATAATTGCAAGAAAATATTAATATAACACAAGTGTCATAAGCACTCCTCCTAGAAAGAACTCTAAACAGGATCGTAAACGTCCGATTTGACCTTAAAATAGCTCGTGTGTTCTAGGATCGAATCAGTCATCGTCCGGCATAATAAACAGGTAATCACTGTCGCCGCGATTCTGTCGACGCTTCGTGGTCTGGGCTGAAATTGAGACCCTGACAGAAACCGGGCTGCGTGGCGCCCACCGCGAAATGACTGTCATCCACCCGCCACCGAGATCTCTCGTTGACACTTCCGACTGGGTTAAACAAACTCGCGTCGGAGTACGAGGTGGCAAACACGTGGCTCGATAAAAGAAGACGCTGATTTATTCCTTGACATTGAATCAGGAAATAGTGCATTCTGATTTACAGCGACGTACTATACAAAATTTAGAGCGATGCAAGTGTAACGCGATAATAAAGGAGACGTGAAATAATGCTTGGTGAGTCCAATGAACGAAAGGGATATGTCACTTGGTTTATAAACGAGTTGGAATGCGACGGTATCAAACACATGGCACAAAAAAGGAAAACGGAGAACGCAACGTCCCGGAAGATCACTTTCTCGTATTCACTTTAGGGCAAGAGATATAAAACAAGAGCACGGTAACGTACGAGAATCTCAGCACTGGGATTCTGTAAGTTTTAACGACGGTGTCGGTATCGTTATATTACATAGATTATTATATATGGTAAAAGAATAGCGGAACAGTAATATCAGTAATATCACTGATACGTTATTAAAATTACAGAATCCCGATATACAGGAAGCGTAACGCGTTAAAATGCGAGACGGTGGTCGATTAAACGAGATTATTATTGCGCGTATTGCGCGAATAAAAGAGAGGATAATAAACATAGAATTTAACGGTGCGACGTGCTTTCGACGACCATCGCGAGCCCCGGTGGACGTCCGGAATGCACGCGGAACCCACATGGCGGTCCTTCGATTCGTCACGCGCGATCCGCGAGCTCGCACGGCCGATGCGACGTAATGCACTCCACGCAACATCGGCGACGGTGCAGCACACGATGCGCTCGCATACGATGCATTCAATAAGCGATGTCCATAAATAAGCCGCGCCGCGGACCGGTTAGGATATATCTATTGCTTGTAATTTACGTCGGGGGCTTGAAAAGCTTCAGGGACGACTCCTCCATCTCCTCCATCTTCGTACACTTTCTACCGCCAGACGATGGCCGAGACGAAAATAATTTATCGCCCCGGGACGGGAGAGGGACGGGAACGGAAAGAGAAGGGCGAAGGGCAATAACGATCCTCCCAACGTCACGCGCTCGTAGTGACAAAAGAGTATATTAAATTCGCGCCGTTATCGCAAAGTATCTGCAATATAACGTGTGTTTTAATGACCCATCGTGTCTTCTTCAAATACGAGATCTATATCAGAAGATTCGTCGTAAAGATCTGTATCGGAATTCTTTGTAAAGAAAAATCAATTTAACCGCGCTTAACGTTAATATTACTTGTGTGGTTTTTTTTTAAACGTAATTAATCACGCGAGGTGTTTCTATCTTATATATTATCTTAACATTATATACGTCATTATTCTCTTTAATGATTTACAATTAAATAGAGATTGATAATATTCTACTTCCTTTAATAAATAAAATTAATGCAATTCTTTTTAATTGTATGGAATAACTTGTGCTAATATAAATGACATTCACGTATGTAACGAACTTATAAAATAGAAATGTTTTGAACGAGTAATGAAGGGTTAACTAATATTTATTAGAATAGTTACATAGATTCACGTGTAATTAATTTGAGTACTAAAATCTTATTCTTTGCTGTTATACTCACACTGTCAGAATCACCCAGTCAAATAATTTCATCAAATGACAAGTTGTTTATTTTCTATCAATTGTGTAATTTATGGGGGTCTCATTGTTTATTTTAGAAGAGCTCACGCTCACAACATGCTATTTCAGTTTTATCCTTCGTGCGTGTGCTCGCAGCTCTCAGACGAACAAACGCAGTTGCGTATTTAGAACTAAATTTATAAACTCACGCGATAAGATCCAAGAGACGAAAACGAGCAACATTTATATATGACATTCTGACGGACTAATTAAAGCGTGCGTACAGTAAATGATAGCTAATTGTAAACGGTTTCATTAATATTTTATATTGAGAAAGAAATGCTCAATATGTCTTAGATTGTGATGTTCTTGTTGAACTTGGTCCAAGT